GCAGTGTGCATGTGCATGTACATATGGTGGTGTCTGTGGTGTGTGGTGTGTGTTTGTGTGCACATGCGTGTGCATGGGGGCTGTCAGGGAAGGGCGCAGTTTCTTTTCTGCAGTTCTGGAGCATGGCTTCTGGGGGAGGGGGTGGCAGTAGGTGGTGGCAGAAAAAGCTGTTGGGATCAGATCCTCTCCCATTTCAGGCTGAGATGTAGGGCTATTTGTGTACAATAAGGAAGTCTCTAGAAGGCTTTTATTTGTTTGTGATTGATGCTTTTGGGATATTAATTTCTTGGCAACTTTGAAATGAATGTGTGTTTTTCATGGGAGGTTTTAGAGGAGGCTCTGCATGAGCAGATATGAACCTGGGAACCATTGGGGGGTGCACGGGAGGCCTGCAGGAGGCCGCTGGAGAGAGCGGGGAGGAGCAGCAATGCCCGAATCTCCACCTGGGGAGGCATCATGGAGAGGCAGGTGCTCAGGGAAGTCTAGGAGGAGAAGGTGGGAGCCTCAGCCAGCCTAGGCGTCCACTGCTCTCTCTGAGCTCAGAGGGAGGCCTGGGCTGGGCTGGGAGTGTGGCCAGCCGTGCACGGGGAGGGTGCAAGGACAGGGCACAGGCTGGGTGCTCTGGAGGACCATGAAAGACAGAGAGAGGGGCCTTCCCTCCACCCCCAGGGTGCACAGGCCCAGCATTGGGAAGCTGGCTGGGGAGGGAGCGGGGACAGGGCAGAGGAAGCCCCGGGCTCGGTGCTTGGGGCCTGTGTCCTCTCCTCCACCTCTCCGGGCTTCCTCCCTTCCTCCCACGCAGCTGCAGTTGGTGTGGCCCCCTCCTGCCCGATCCCCTCACAGTAGCGCCTCCTCCCCCGCATTTTCCTCAGCCCCACATCCCTTTCCCTCAGAGCTCTGAGCGCCCTTGGAAATGATCTACTGAGCACGTGTTCACTTGTTCCGTCTCTTCCCCAGCCCCTGAGATGTGAGCTCCGTGAGGCAGGGACACTGCAGGTCAGTCACACTGTGTCCTGGCCCCGAGGAGAGGCCGCATGGGAGAGCTCCCAGGGCGACAGCGACGCGAAGGAGCAAATGCGCCTCCCAGCACGGCCCGTCGGGTTGGGTATCGCAAAGACCCTGCTGACAGGGTCCCTGGAGAGCCCAGAGGGTGGGCCAGGGAAACAGGCCTCCCCCAGGGTTCTCCCATCAGATTCCTCCGGGAAAGGACTTGCCCGCGTTCCTGGAGCTGCCGCCTCTCCGGGGCAGGATGCCTCGCCTGTTCTGGGCAGCCGATGCCCTTTCACGGTCCTGCCCTTTCTGAGATGGGCGGCCGTGAGGCTGGCGTGGTCCCAGCAGCTTCCTCCCAGGGCATGTGGTCCGGCGGGGCTGCACCGCATGGACCGGGCAGCCAGTCTGCACAGAAGGGGGCTCGGGCCAACGTCCAGAACTCGTGGGGCCACGGGAGCTGTTGAGGTGCCTGCCCTGCTGCCCACGGAGCAGCCTCAGCTTGTCCCTAACGGACCTTCACGGGGTTCTCCCTTCCCGAGACACCTGGCTTCCTCGGGGGGATGGGGTGGGGCACTGCACACAGAGTCTTGCAAGGAGAAAGGGGTTTTGGTGGAGACAGTTTCTGGGCACCAGGATGGGGAATGGCAGGGCCTGACTGCTGTCTGCCCCCAGCCGGCCCCAAGTGCAGCGAGGAAGGGCTGCAGGGGCTGAGTGGACTCAGCACCGGAGGGGGTGTGGCAGGGGCTGGACCCTGGGGCGGCCTCGCCTGCGTCGCGGTTGGCAGGTGTGAAGACAGGGTCTCCCTCATGGCTCCGTCGGGGCTGCCTGAAAAGAAGGGAGAAGAGCAGCAGCGGTTTTCAGTGTGTGATGCCCCCGTGTGTTCTGTGGGCCCTGAGACACTTGTCAGCCCCGCACCCCAGCGCCTCCTGCTCCCCGAGGAAATGAACCTTCCTTTGGGTTGAGGTTGTCCAGGCGGGGGGGGTGGGGAGAGGAGGGGACTAGGAACTTGCCCCCCAGCCTAAGAGGACTGGCCGTGGCATGGCGGTCCCTGGAGCCAGGGCACACACAGAGCGTGGTGGAGCCCCTTGCGCACGGGCACCTTCGCAGCCACTGCCCGTCTCCGCCACTGTCAAGACTGGCAGTGGCCTCGGCAGGCCCTGGGAGGAGTGAGGGCCTGTCCCGGTGGCTGTCACCGCCTGCTCACTGCACTCAGACTGGTCAGAGCTCAGGCCATGGGCTGCGGACCGCTGGTGTCCAGGCAAAGAAGCGCCAGGGCCTGGCCCTGGCCTTGGGCTGGCTCCTCAGCCCCGTGGGCAGGGCATGGGAAACCCACAGTGCATCGGCGCCCGGCCTGTCCGCCAGGTATTGCTCAGGAAGAAGCCCCCAGTGTAGTGGCTGATGTGCAGAGCTCACCGGCCCTTCCGCTCTGGACTCCCTTGTTCATCTGAACTGGGCTGGTGGCTGTGGGCCGACCTCCTTCCCGACGTGCGCCCACCCTCGCAGGCAGCCAGCTGCTCGAGTGGCAGCAGCAGCGTCCAGGGCAGGGGCAGGACGCGTAGACATGCATTCGCACCTCTGCTCATGCCAAGTGAGAACTTCCCAGGTGCCAATGCAGCTGATCTCCTATTTGGAAACATCATGGGCACCAAGCAGAGCCGTGCACTAGAACTTTGTCTGAGCATCGTACCAGTGCTGTCCCGTACGGCAGCCACCAGCCAGATGTGGCTCTTCAGCACTTGAAATGTGGCTCGTGTGGCTGAGGAGTGTGGGATTTTACTTACTTTCAATGAACCTAAGTTTGCATTGCAACGGCCCATGTGGCTGGTGGCTGCCGTGCTGGCAGCCATATGAGGGCACAGCCGCCATGGCACCGTGCAGAGCTGCTGCGTGTGGCACAGGAGCTGGGGTGGGTGTGCACGTGTGACGTGCTGAGGTGCTCTCGCTTACAATCAGGCGTGAGCTGTGCTGTGCTCAGGAGCGGGAGGCGCAGGGCAGACACCAGCCCTGAGCTTGTCTAGCCGGCCCCTCTCCGGGGGCTCCTGCTCCCTGTGCCACTCCTGGAGCTGCCCTGCCAGGCCCTCTGGTGGGACTGCCTGGCCTCTCAGGAGCCCAGGGGGTTGGCAGCCTTGGCCTGTCAGAAGCGCCAGGCACGTGCGGTCTTCCTCGGCCGCCTTCTTCCCTGGGCTTCCGTGCAGGGGCCGGCCCTGCCACCTGGCACCTCCTTTCTGTCTGAGTCAGTGGGCAGAGCAACAATGAGGTCGCTGGGTGTTGCCAGGCGAGCAGTGCTGGGTGCCTGTGCCCAGGGGCCAGCTGCCTATGGACGAAGCTGGTTGAGGTCACGGCACCCTGGAACCAGGTACCACTGGCTTTACTATTAGTCACGTGTTTGTTGCTCTTTGTGGGCTCTTGTTTGGGTGCTGCCGTGCCCTCCCCACGGGTCACAGGAGGTTGGCTCTCTGGGCCTCGCAGGTGCCGGCCCCTAAGCAGAAGCAGGTGGCACCTTCCAGAGTGTGGGCGTCAGAGGAGCAAAACGCGGCACAAGTGGGTGGGCGATTTGCCCAAGTTCACAGAAGGACCCGGGTTCTAAGTGCGGAGTCCATGGCAGGCGCTCAGACCTGTTCCCAGGGCTTCCCTGGGTGGGGGTGGGGCCTGCACACTGACCCAGGGCCCAGCACCCGAGTCAGCACTGCAGGGCACTACCCTCCATGCCTGTGTGTGCCTCTCCAGACTGCCCTCCAGGACTGCTCTCCCATGTCCAGCTGGTGAGGAGGGCAGCCCAGGGCCCGCTCCCTACAGTGCCTGGCGCTAGTGGAGCTCTGGAAGTTGGTGGAATGAGCAAGGAGTGAACGTTTGGGAGAGAAACTGGTTGGGGTAAAAATCAGGTTGAATTTGAACTGTTTGCTTTAAGTTTGACTCTTGGGCTGGCATGTGCCCCTGGCAGCCCCTGGGCAGTTCCTGCGCCAGGCGGGTGCAGCTGGTGAGACGGGGCAGGCCGAGTGTCCTTTAGAGGGAGAGGCTCAGGTGTGGTCTCCCTCTGGGAGCTGGAGTGCAGATATGGGCCAGGTGAAGGAAACATCCCAGGCTTACGTGGCTTATGGGTTGAAACTTTGGGTTGCAAGTGACAGAAATCCAGCTGAACTTGGCTTTAGCTCATGCAGCTGAAAATCCCAGAGAGACAGCCTTCAGACACAGCTGGGCCTGAGGCTGAAATGGCACCTTCAGGACCACGTCCCACTGGGCCCTGCCTGCCTCTGTGGGCGCCGTTGGGGGCAGCCCCTTGGGGAAGCCAGCTGGCCCAGGCGGGGCTGCTGCTGAGCGAAGACTGGGTGCCAGGAGGGCTCTGGCCCTGTCCAGAGGAGGCTTCTCCTGCTTCCCTCGCCCTGGGCTCCCACCCCGCCCTCCTGGAGCCGCAGGGCAAGAGATGCCTTGGGCCAGCTGCTCACCCTGTTGGACTTGGGAGAAGGTCAGCTGGCTGGAGAGAGAGTGGAGGAGTGTCAGGAAAGTCAGATCCTGGGAACAAGACAGGGTCCGAGCTCAGGGCTGGGGTGTAGGGTGTAGGCTGTTCAGTCACAGGCTAGGGCAGGGACCCAGGCCTTCAGTCAGGGCAGCCAGTGGCCTCCATCACCGCTGAGGCCCCAGCAGCCTCAGCACAGGGAGAGGAGGGGTGGAGGGAGCCAGGCAGGGCTGGGCCCACAGCACATGTCGCCAGGAGGCCAGGACTGCCATTGGGTGGAAGCAGTCGGGAGGGAGCGGGAGCTCGTCGAGAAGGACTCTTTCTGCCACAGGACCTGCCGGATGGCGCCCGGCCTCCCATGGTGCAGGACCCCGGGCCGTGCTGGTGAGGGGTTGGGACTAAATCCGTGCCCTCCAGCTTTTCTTCGGTGGGCAGGGGGGTAGACGGAGCCCTCACTTCTGGCGGCCTCCATGGGGGAGGGGGGAGCACTGGAGCGAGACCTTCCACCGTCCCTTTCCGCTTACGGATGGCTCTCCCCTCTTCTCCCACTGCCCAGATATCCGTGGTCTCCAAAGCTTTCTGGACCAGGCCTCGCGGCTGGGCCTTGATGTCTCTTTACAAAAGGTGGACAAGAACATCAGCCACGTGTTCACCAGCCTCTTCACCACCATGAAGACGGAGGAGCTGAATCGCTACCGGGACACGCTGCGCCGCGCCATCCTGCTGCTCAGCCCGCAGGGGGCCCACTCCTTCATCAACGAGGTAGGTGGGGCTGTGGCCGCAGGAGTGGCTGCTCACGTGGCTCACGTGGGCTGCAGGCGTCGTCTGCTTGTCGTGAGTGGCGGAAGCGCGTGGGGTCACAGCACACGGCAGGGAGGGGAGACCGGCACAGCGTGGCTCCTGCCTGGTCCCCAACAGGTGGCCCAAGGCTTGCCCAGCTGCTGGGAGGCTGGGCAGCCAGTGGGGAGCCTTTTCAGGTCACTGGCAGCCGTTTCGGAGGCAGCACTCGGGCTGGCTTTATTTCTTTCCTTTTACTTTTCTTCTCGGCGTTGGCAGTGTGAGCTCTGGGCGTAGAGTGAACGTCCGCTCTCTGCAGGGGTGGCGGCTCTGCCTGGGGTGCTAGCGCCTGCAGCAGGTGTTGGTTGGCTGTCACCAAGTGACACGTGGTATATCTGTGCTTCGTTTTTGGTGACTGGGCTAATTAGTGACTTTTTTAAAACACCTGTGTTAGGGGTTACAGGGGTGGGCAAACTTTTTGACTCGAGGGCCACAATGGGTTCTTAAACTGGACCGGAGGCCGGAACAAAAAGCATGGATGGAGTGTTTGTGTGAACTAATATAAATTCAAAGTAAACATCATTACATAAAAGGGTACGGTCGTAGTTTGCCCACGGCTGGACTAGACTGTTCAGTCAGGTTCAATAAGCAACATTCAGGATTCAGAAAATTTGGTTCACATTAGGCCCATTATTTTAAAACGAGTCCAGTGGGAGCAGAACTTGTCATCACCTATGCTCATGTGTACATCCTACCCTCTTCTCAACTGTACCTGAGCCAATGGATTTCAAACGGGCCGGATCCGGCCCGCGGGCCGTAGTTTGCCCACGGCTGGGTTAGGACCTTCTCATGAAGACAGGGCTCACGTATTTAACGAAAAACCATTAATTTTAGGACAGACAACTAGACACACTGTGTGAGCTGGTGACTGTTGCTAGTCCTGGTGGTCTAATGGCAGAGATGACAGCTGGTGTTGGGGGCTTCTCTCTGGCCTGGATTGGGTTCAGGGGGCAGGGACATGCTGGGATGCCGTGTGCCCGGGAGCAGGGCCGACTGTGGGGTGGTGGCGGCTGAATGCTCCCTGCGGTTCCCCTCCAGCCCACGGCCTTGGCCTCTGGTGGAAAGTGAAATGAATGAAGGGCAGAAACCTACTAGTTCCACCCAATGCACTTTGCTTGCTTATTCTGCTTCCCCCTAATTAATGATTCCTCAGATGCTACCCCCGCGTCGGGAGCCAGCATACCCTGCTGGAGAAACCTACATTTGGAGGCCGCGGCTGGCCCACAGCCCTGCGCTCTCCCTCATCAGCGGGGCGCTGGCCGTCAGCCGCTGTGATGTCTTGTGGGCACCGCGTTTTCACCAGAACCCGTTTCCTGTACGAAGGGTTCAGGCCAGTCCCGGGAGCCCAGGGTTGGCAGCACCGATGGGTCCAGGCGTCCTCCGAATGTCCCCAGGGTCTGCTCCCAGGGCAGCCTTCCCCTGTTCAGTCCCCGCCGGAGTTGGCTCTGGGACCTGTCTGCTAATTCTGCCACCAGCCTCCTCCCTCTCTTCTCGCCCGTCTCTCGCCCCCTGTCCTCACCGCCTTTCCTCCTGTCCCTGCTCTGCTGCTGAGCTGGGTAGGGAAATCTGCCTCACCTTTGCGTGAGGAGGAGGTGGCAGTTGCGGTAAAGCATGTGGCGGTGGCTTCTCCAGAGGCGTCCGTTCTCTTCTCACTGTGCCGTTCATCGTGCCTTGTCCAGAGGATGCACCCGCCCCGCCCCAAGGCCCTGGAGGATTCCACACGTAACCCAGAGCGGCCTAAGACGCCATTCCCAGTGGCTCATGGTGCGACTACTGCAGTGTCAGATGCGCTTGGCGTGGCTTCAGCCACTGCCTTGCTCTGCTGGGGCCGCAGAGCTGGGGCCCTGGAGCGGCCACCTGGGCAAGAGGGATGCGCTCCTGGGGCTGTGGCTGGAGGCTGTGTGCAGAGCCACACCCGGCGCCACTGCCTTCAGCTCCGCCTGGTCAGAGTCTTGGTCTCTGGTCCCATGCGCCTGCCACTGGGCATGGGGAGCCATCGTTTCTGGGGTGCCCACCGCAGGCACCCTCTAATCCTCCCACTTTACAAGTGAGGCACCTGAAGCTGAAGACGTTAAAGGACTTGCGTGAGGTCATGCAAGTTGTCACCAGGGTGCTGGACCGATTCAAGTCCAGATCTGACCCGCTCCACAGGCCTCGCTGCCCTGTGGCCGGGATGGCCACAGAGATACAAGGGATTGCAGGCCGTAGTGGGCCGAGATGGCCATGCTGGCTCCATGGGGGAAAGCAGGGCTCCGGGGTCTGGCAGAGGTTCCCGGGTGTCCATGCCTCACTGTGAGCAGGAGGGAAGGAACCCTGACCCTGGAGGGGACTGGCCCCTGTGACTGGGAGGCTGGCTAGCCCAGCCAGTCCCTGTGGAGACCTGGGGACGCCGTCCCAGCAAGAACGCTCCGTTCACTACTGAACGCATTGCTTCTACACTGACAAGGACAGACAATAGGCACAAGGCTGACCCCCTGCCAGGACATGCCCTGAATGTTATGAAACTCAAATCGCTGCTATGGGGCAGGCAACGCTCACCACCCACTGCTGTTGATGACGTGTCCCAGCTGTGCCCGCTCAGGGCTGGCATGGAGGCCTCGGGAAAGACCCTTGGTTCTGTGGCCTGCTCCCCTTCCCACTCGAGAAGCATGGCTGATGGGAGTGAGGGGGGAAGGCTGGCACTTACACTGTCATTCGTGACAAATTGGCACGACAGATGCGGACTTGGCTGCCTGGGACACCAGTCCCTGTGCTGTGTGGGCGCTGCTGTTTCTCCTGGCACCCAGGGCACAGCCACTCACGGTGGGGGTGTGGCCGGGGCCCATTCTCCATGGTCTTCTCTGTGATCCCATTTTTTGGGGGGGCGGCTTAGCCTTACTGGGGGCCAAGGTTTGGGCAGCTTGGACTTGGTGGTGAGTGGGAGGGTTGGAGGGTGGTGATGGGAAGTATTGGGGCATGCCTGTGGGCTCCTCTCCCAGGCCCCACCTCAGATTCCCTTGCCTTCCATCACTCAGTCTTGAGTCCATACTCCCTTCTCCGAGGTCTCATCACAGTCCTAACAATTACACATCAGCGTGCGGTCTCTAGAAGGCTCCCCTTGGGGGACTGCGCTTAGGGTGACAGTGTCTGGTCTCCTGACCTCGGGTGCTGGGCCACGGGGTTGGGAGGGTGGGAGGGCGCCCTGTTCTGGGCGTGGTGCTGGAGCTCTGAGGAGGCAGCGGGCGCCTCTAACTGGGGAGGGAGCGGAGCCTTTGTCCTGAGTGTCGGCTCCTCTCTGGGCTGCTGGCTGCTGAGGGGGCTCCAGGGGCAGCAGCACCCCCTAATACGCTGTTCCCAGCTCCTGTCAGCTGGACCGCCAGCCCCAGCAAGCACAAGGAAGGGAGCGGTGCCCCCTGGCCAGGGATAGGGGTCGGCCAGCGTGTGCGGGATGCTTCCTGGGCAGGGGACACTGTGGCTGGGTCCACAGGAATGGACCTTCCTTACCCCATAGCCAAGGAGGGTGAGGGGGGAGGTCAGAGAGGGGTGTGTGGTGCGCTTGTAGCACTGGGCGGGGCTGGGGAGTGGCCAGAGCTGGATGTCAGCAGGAAGGGTCTCCCTAGTCCAGGGCAGTGAACCTGCACTTCAAGGACTGGCTTGTTGTTGGGTCCTTTTCAGGGTCTTTGAGGTCAACGGCCTACAGTGCACTCCATAACCACAGCCCCAGCGCTGTTGGGGGCTATGCATGTCTTTCTGTTCTTTCCTCTCTAGCTCCAGTTGGATGGGGAGATCTCCAGTTCACAGTCAGTTTTAGCTCTGGGTTTCATCTTATCTTCCTGGAGGAGCTTCCATCCACCCATCCACCCACCCACCCTTCCACCATCCACCCATTTATCCATCCATCCATCCATCCATCCATCCATCCATCCATCCCATCCACCCACCCACCCATCTGTCCATTTGTTCACACACCCCCCTCCCCCTAGCCATCCAATCGATAGGAATTGGGTGCCTAAGACAAACTGGGAACCATATCAAGGGCTAGTGGGGGACACTGAGGTTCCCCACACTCCACGGCCATAGTCCTTCTGGGCCTTCCTTGCAGTGGTTCTCACCCCCTGAGGCCTCCTCTGGGCATGTGTGGGACTTTAGGACTCTGTCCTTTCAATGGTCGTCATTTCTGTGCCCCCGCCTCACTCTTTGCTTTTGTATCCTCTTTATTTCCTCCTCTCTTCTCCTCTCCCTTCTCTTTTGTTTCACTGGAAAGAATAGAAAAAGTGAACTATTTTAAGGGATAGTTGCAGCAGGTGGCATTTACCTTTGCATTAGACAGGTACCAGTGCTCTCTGCCTGTAGCGAGGGAGAAGGATGGAGAGAAGACGTGGGGAATGGCCTGTTGCTGGGACAGCTCCCATTGCTCTGGGAGTGGGGTCACCTGTGCAGGCTGGGAAGAGTAGGTGAATGTGAAGGACAGAGGTGGAAAGGGTACTCCCAGGCTGGCTTCCCAGGCAGGGCGCGTCCCGGGGGCAGTCGACCCCTTGCTGGAAGCACAGCTGGATTAACTCCTGGCTTCTACTCGCTGCTGCTCAGAATTCGCTGCAGTGAGTGAGCTTTCCCCACAGTTTGAGTACAAAATCTGTTCTTTTTAAGACGTTTGTAGCGAAGGTAAATTAAGTAATCTCAGTGTTCTGTTGTCCCACATGACATATGCAAATATTTCTCACTCCACCAGTAAATCTTTAGCAGATGACTTTATGGCTTAGAATTAGGATAATTCTGTGCTATTTAAGTATCATTTTCCAGAATATTTTAAATTACTAATTAATTACAGGAGATTAATTTTTACATGTGCCCTACATTTGCATTTAATTATATCCTACTGCTTATGGGTTCTACAGCCTTAGCACTTCAGCTAGTGCTACAAGTCTGAGAACTCATTTTTGGTCCCT